TAAAATTTATATGAATCTTTACAAGCAAGCTCAGATGACGAAAATTCTACAATTCCATTGAATAATAACACAAGTTATGCCCCTTTAGGCTTAGAAAATGTTCTGATATAACCATTAATACATAAATGTTTCCAAAACTAGAACATATATTCACTTGAAACTATATGATATATGAAGGGTCACAAGTAAGCTCATATAACACAAGTTATGCCCCATTTAGACTTAGAAAATGTTCTGATATAACCATTAATACTTAAATGTTTCTGATTCTAGAACATGTATTCATTTGAAACTACATGATATATGAAGGGTCACAAGTAAGCTCAGAATGTAAAGTTTTTCCACTCGTAAAAACTTTTTGACATAATTATGCTATTTTCTTAACTTCACTGATTTTGTTTGTTTTAGTACATTTGGAAAATGAAAGGTTATTTGTAACTGTTTCGAACATGATTTGACAATATATATTTATACTATTACCTGTACAATTTGTCTTTTTGTTCACCAGAGATAATTTCTCTTTATGTATATAAACCCTTAACCACCTTTCTAAGTCTTCTTCTGTCAAGGACTGGTGGGGTATGAATCGCATTCAGCGATAGTTCTAGTTCAATATAATAATAATAACAACAGAAAGTAATTATTTTGCGCGTTTATTGACCTTAAACAAGCTTTTGATACTGTTTGGCGAGATGGTCTTTGAATAAATTAGGTAATTAAAATATCAATGAAAAATGCTTTAACTTTATCAAAAAACATGTATAATAATATTTATTCATGTGTACAATCAAATTCAACTGTATCAAGTGTCTTTCCATGTAATATTGGTGTAAGACAAGGCGAAAATCTTTCGCCGTTAATGTCTTTTCTTAATCTAAATGCTTTGCAAACTTTTCTTGACAATCACATTAATATAAATGGAATACTTATACCTGAGAGTGAAAATAGAGATGATATACAGAGTGACTCTTTTAAATTATTTATCTTAATTTATGCAGATAATAATGTTACTTTTAGCTAACAGTGAAGGTGGATTACAAAACTCTCTTGATTTATATTAAGAATAATGTGATACTTGAAAGTTAACCGTTAACATAGAAAAAACAAAACTTTTAATTTTCATAAAACCTTATAACCAAATATAATCAAAACATCAGAATTAATGAATCCTAATCATAAACAAGATCGTCTGAAATTAAGTACATTTTTAAAGTGTATAATAAGTAGAATTTAAGTCATTGACCAATATGTAATTATCAAAATAGATTTTTCTTTTTTTCGAATATCAGAAGTGTTGCTAAGTTTCTGTTTCGCTTTGGGAGACCTAGTGGGCCGAAGAGGCACATATTTATAGTATACCGCATTTAAATTAGACCACATACTTTCATTTTTCTGAAGGAAATGTCAGAAGACACTGGTTAGGTCCTTATAATCTCCACTTCCGTATCTCAAATCAAATGCAATTTTTCACAATATAAAATGTGTCATTTCTATCCACAGTATACAAAATAAATATTTTTTCTTCTTTCGGCCTATGATACCGCCATTCGCCAATTAAATTATATAAGATCGTGGGAACTGTGACCTCCGACACCTTTGTAAAGGGCTCATCGTGACTCCCGACCACCACTTTTTTGCTATTGTTAAAATAATTTAATATATTATACAACAGTTTTGGCTCTCCACGTACTTGATACTTGAAGGTATACAAATGTAACATTTAATATCAAACTTTTTACCCTTATATTTTCTTTAGTATGTTAATTAACTGCTATTTGAGCCTCATGGTATGATGTCATGTTTATCAACTCATTATGTCATGTTTGTACATGAAATGAAAAAAAAAATTAATGGTTTTTTTTTTTACTTGACTTGACTTACATCAAGAAAATAAACAAAATGTTAAGAAATTTTTCATTCCGGCCAAAATTTTTTAATATTATAATATAAAGTATTCTATTATAACCATGTTTAACATATGTACATGTATTTCATATTACATATTTGTACACAGTGCTATATTTAGTATAATATACAATATGGTAAAGATCTTTTATTTACCATTATGTTTTTATCATTTTGCAGTTGGTACATTTTAAGATCTTAGTTAACAAATAGAATACAATCTATTATATATTCTTGTTTTGTTACCAATGAAGCAAACATTTGGCTTAAGTCCAAGATATTTTGTCCTGATACCAACAAAAGAAGAATACAATTTGACATTACCTTTAGTATTCATTACAATGACAAACATTGAAGTTTGAGGACATATAATAGCTATATTCAGTAATTAATCACCTGAAATTGTTCATTTTAAATATATTCATAATAATTAAAGATTGGATGTTTTGTTTCATTTTACGGTGCACGAACACAAGTAAGGTTATATGTTAGTAGCATACGCTTATAAAAAGAAATAAACACTTTAAACAGCTAAAAAAGGAGCAACATAGAAGAGACTGTAGCTGTTAAAAGACTACTTAAATTCTTAAAAGTCTATGCCCTACATTTTCGTCGTATTTGAAAATGGACTGGTTACTTTGCATAAAACTTTGTTTAACCGTTTATTCATGTTTACGTTGCGTCCGTCTAAACATTCACGCACACGAGTTTAATCTCATTACTGAGTCATAAATCTGTCCGAACTTACGAGACTACCGACAACTTACACGATCCCGTATAATCATGCACATGGAAATATAAAAAAAACACAACATACAAGTAACAGAAGTGCAGAAAAAGATCCAACACCTAAACAAAATTTAAACAATAACCTAAACAATAATAATTAAATTTAAACCTAACCTAAACAATATCTGCACATACCAATGTACAAAGATTTCAAAAAGTATTACCGATTTTGCATTCAATGCCATTGTTACCAATTCACCTCAATGTGCTTCGGCCCCAGTCAAGCACCAAGGGCATTTACGAAGGTCATAACAGTTATAACAGCTTATTTAAGGAAGCAAAATATTCGTCTGGCCTCTTACCTGGACGACTTGTTACTAGTGAATGTTCTAAGGTCTCAACTCCTCTTAGATCGAGACCAAACACTTTTGATTCTAATGCAACTAGGTTTTACCATTAATGCAAAGAAATCATCCCTAATACCCAATCAAACGAAAGGTATGAAAGGTATTGAAGATTTTACAAAAATATCCATTTGAACCATTAACAAAATATGATAAACAAGATCACCAAGGAAAGGCGGCGTTCAATGAACACAGCATCACATCACTTAAGAACATTTCTATCATACAAAACTGTTTTTCTTGTAGCAATTACGACATTCAGAAGGTGATCAGACATACAATCGTTAAAACTGGGTGATGGGAATGTTGATGTACATGAAGATGGTATTTTATTCCTCAGGCAAGGATTGTCTAAGCAGAACAGACCTGGACATTCAGGAAGTAGAATTTGGGTTCCAGCATTTGTTGACGATAAAAAATCAGATCCCAAAAGAGCAATAGCAATTTATTTGAGAAGAACATAACAGTTTAGATCAAGAGGTAATGATGATCAAACTAGATTATTTTTATTTTTCATAGAGCCGCATAAACCAATATCGAAACAGACTATAGCTAATTGGATTGTGAACAAAATTTAAGGTGGCCTATAAGGAACACATAACAGGTAATGCTCATTCAACTCGTGCAATTTGTCTATCTTGGGCTTTATTTAAAGGTGCGGCATCAATATTGGAAGCAGCTGACTGAGCCGTGATTCCACTTTCAAAAATGTTTTTTTTTGAGAACTGGTTCGGCAAAAGTATTGTCGAAGTAATATTTCGGCGTGCTGCATGTGTACATATTATTAACCACCCGTATATAGAGGTTTGTAAATGGCGATACCAAATTGTGTACATTTGATTGAATGCTAAGCAGATTTATGTAGGTTAACATAAAGATGATTCACTTGGACTACGATGTACATGTATATATTGTGGTTTTGATACAGATGTTATTTTTGGATAGAGGAAAATACTACCACAGCCTTAAGGTATGTGATGCTTTGTAATCTATCCTAATGTATTTTTCGCATGGTAAGTTAATAATTAAGTGCAATGAAATTTAAAAATTTGTTATCAAATTATAATTTTATGAATGAGATTACTAACTTACCATACCTACTACCACCCACCGTCCCTAGTATTTTCTATAAGGTGTCGCTTTGACGCCTGTATTAACTTAAGTTATTGAGCGTCTATCAAGTAGAGACTTGTTTGTTACGCTTTACTGATTTTCTGGGCGTGTTCGATTCGTTTTAACCGGAGTATATCTTAATTTTCCGTATAATAGTAAGTAAATAATCTCATTCATGAAATTATAATGTGATAACAATTTTTTTAAATTCGAATAGAATAAATCGAGAGAAAAATTGCAACTATAAACAGGTTTACCTCGGCTAAGTATTTTCTTATAAAAAGCCACTTTGTAACATGTTTGAATAACGAATATTGATCAATATGTATGAATTATGGCAGCTCATTTAAATGTCGGATCTTATGACTACTTCTATAATAGTTTCGCTATTGAACATTTTATCTAATAGCTGTCAAATTGCTTTCAAAAAAATTGTAATAATTATACCATATATGTTAGTATAACTTAGGTATAAGATATAATAGTTTACAATCAAGAAGCAAATCTGACACAATTTAATTGATATTTCATTGTCAATGTAAAATACTGACGGTAATTATTTATTTTAATCATTCTGTTTCTTATTCGAGCACATGCATTTTGTTTTATTTAAAAATCTTTGTTTTTGTATGTACATTTTACTCTAAGTTACTATAAGTTGTACTTAATCATCATGAAATCGGGAGACGTTTATTTTATAGTGACAGTTTGTGTCTGTCTTTTTCTCTCTATTTGTTAAAAAAACAAAAACACAATTATATATACAACTTTGAATTAATAAACAAAACAATATTTTACATGTTTAAAAGAAAATAATACTAAAATATGTCATTTTATATTTAAACTAACCTTCGAAACTAGTACATCCCCAAACATGTAAAATGACGAATAACTTAAAATATTACTTCAAATCTTACTTCAGTCGTAAAGAATCACGTCTTTGTATTTGAGACCGATACAACAATACAATATAATAATTTATAATAGGCTGTATTTCAAATACGCATTAAAGGTTGTCCATTGTAAACTGTTCTATAACGAAAAATATTTGATAGATAAGAGTTAATGTCATCCAACTTTGGTTTTGATCGATATTGATATACTGCTTTATACTTAACATAGTAAAGAATGTAAGAGGGGTGATATAGAAGTATCCAGAAAGACGGCTTACAATCTGATAATTTATATATTTTTTTCTTAATTAAATTTATACGTGCGCAAAATTTGATGTTTCCTCATTAAATTGCACATTTTGATTGATTTAATGGCATACAGATCCCTTTCATTCTGCTTTAAACAACCAACTCAAAAACTCGACGTAAGAATTTTGCCGGAGGTTGGTGTTAAAACAAGAATGGTAAACGTACTTTTGTTGGAAATGGTAAACATGTACAAAGAGGATATTTAAGTGAAGCACTTCAAAAACTACAATCATGGAATAAATTTATCTAATAAATTCATTTTATTGTAAATACAATATAATGTAAAAAAATAAAGGACTTACGCATGCTATATATTCAAGTCCATCTCGTCTTTTAAAGTAAAACAAACCTTGTGCTTGAAAGAACATAACTGATATAATTCAACAAACATTGTGCATACAAATGTATTAAAGTTCATTAGGCTAGAGCCTTTCAAATTATACAAACTCTAATAAGGGTTTAAATGTATGCGTGGGACTAACATAAAGACCTATAGCAGATTGAAATCTACATGTTAATAGAATTTATTCAAACTTTGCCTGATTTTAGAATATGGTCACAGAAACATTTTTGACGAATATATTTCGAAATTTTGTGTTATCTGCCATTAAGTTGAATATTTTGTTATCACTTTTATGGGAGATAACTTAAACATAAGTCTGCTTTGGTAACAATACAGCATTTTAAGGAATTCCATCGAACATTTTTTATTCAGTTTAGATACAAAACTGAATAAACTTTAACAATAGGATGGTTTTGAGATATTTCAAAACTTAAACACACGATAACGATGATATTCAATCAAAACCTACGTATTTAAAAATTGACCAATTATTATAGTGATCAATTATTTTTTTAGTGATTTGAAAATTACAATGTCACGTAAGTTTAACATTTTTTATTCATAAACATGCAGATCGATAAACATTTGGCTAGACTGTATTTTTTATAGATAATCGTCTCTTTAAAACGTAGTAGTTTGAATATAACATGATACAATAAATTTGTAACAGACAATAGTTCTTTAATAAATTCACCGAGGCATGTGCGATTTATTATGTTATCAACTATAAATTCAGCTCATTGCAAATAATATGTCACCTTTATACAAAGTGATTGTTTAAAAGCCACACGCTTAAATGATAGATACTTATGATGTCAGTTAAATATGAATACCATCACTATTATAATAATGAATAATAACAAATACAATGTTAATGACATATTTATCTAACAAATCTATTTTGTAAAATTGATACTTCCAATCTAAGTATGAAAATATTATGTTAATAAATATAGTATTTACACTTTACTAAAGTTTAAGCAAAGAAGCAAGTATTCCTTAAAAACTATATTTTATTTTATGCTCCTGGAAGGGAGAGTATAAAGTCACCGCTTTATCCGTCCCTCCGGATGTCCGTCCGTCCCCTTTTTTGTCCGGACATTTATCTTAAACTACAAGAGGTATCAACAAGAAACTTTGAAGGTAGATACATCTCATTAAGAAAAGGTGCAGTGCAAAGGAACCGTAACTCTGCATTGTCTAATTTAAGAGTTATTGCCCATCATGGATTTTTAAACTGTGAACTTTGTACGGAACATACCTCCAAAACTATATCATATGTCAGCAAGAAATTTGTAGGTAGATAGATCTCATTGGGTAAATGCGCAGTGCAAAATAACTGTGGTTCTGCATTGCCTAATTTTGAGTTAGTGCCCCTCGTTCGTTCTTACACTTTGAACTTTGTCCGAAACATAACTCTATAACCATATGAGGTATCTACTTTGTATGTAGATAGAACTCATTGAGTAAAAGTGCAGTATAAATGAATGAAGTTATTGCCTTTTTCAATTTATAATGTGAACTATGTCTATGACATATTTCTGCAAATACAAGGGGCAATACAAGTATCAATAATTAATTTCGGTAGGTAGATAAATCTCATCGAGTAGAAGTGCAGGGAAAAAGAGTCATCACTGTCTTGTCTAATTTTTGAGTTGTTATCTTTTTTTTTTAATTTTACACTTAAAGGCCGGTTGTTGGGCGCAGGGCGATATTAAGTTGGTGTAAAGAGCGTACACTACGAATTTCTATAAATAAAATCTTTCAAGTGAAAAAAAAAAACATACTAAAATGTGAAGCCAGAGAAATATGATACTACATTAATTTATTTCACCTATAACTAGGTCTGTCAATTACATGTATTACCAATTTTAGTCCGTACACCGAGTGAGCAGCATTACGTTCGTTTTGTTCATAGACAAACAAACAAAACTTAACAGATATTTCTGTTACCTTAAAGATATACTATCCTCATTTTTGAGTAAAGTAATTTTATCACAGAAATTTATTAAAATCTATGAACTTCTTACTGAATATGTCTAATTTGAATAAAATAATGTACACACTATGTATGTGAAGCTGCATTTCCTAATACAGGTTAAGTAAAGCTGTTTATTTCTTTAAAAAATGCCAGTTTAAACACTATATATGTTAATATTGTGGCCAATATGGTATGTAGAGTTTAAAACATAAAAAAGATACTTTGTGTGAAGTGAAAACATGGTAATTTTATATTTTTAAAGAAGTAGTGTAGCAATTTACAGTATTTTCAAATATCAAATTTGAGCATAATATATCTTTAATTTTTTCTTAAACCAAGATTTATTCTGACAATATGCATTGTTTGATTACAAAGTTAAACAGTTCTATTAACACTTTGTGAGAAAAATAACAAATTAAACAACAATGCTAGATTAGGAAGTATCTTGAAACATAAATGAAACACGTGTTATATGCTTTTTGCTCCACTCCTTCCCCTGTGCCCCTTTACTTTGAGGACCTATTAATCAGTCATTTATTTTTTTTCTTTATTTTCCTTGTGGGTTTCTATATTTTTTTTATGTTTCATTTTATAAATAGTAATTTGCCAGTCTGTGCTCCGCTTGCGCCCTGTCCTGTTTTTGTTTGGGGTCCTTCTGGGCTCCTGGCCGCTGGTCCTTGTTGCTTGGTCGCGTGAAGGCTGCGTTTATTGAACGTCGCCTTTCCTTGTTGAACTTGTTTATCATATTTTATATCCTTAGAACGACTGACACTTTGTCAACCATTTTTATGGAGATTCCCCACCTTAAAAAAGTATTTTTCATGAAAACGTATCATATTTGTGTTTGACTTGAACGTGTACGTTAAAGCCATTAATTACAGAATGTCATAGTGAAATGATCTATTTAATATGTCCCGTGCATTGCATAACTTTGTCTCTTTTCTGCACCTTGAATACCTAACTTTTCGAAAAACACAACATTTTGGCGGGAACAAATGCTCAGAAACATTTGTTCGCGGTAGAACTGATGATATTCGATTTTGTCAAATTTGCACGGACACACGTTTTTAAATGTAAATAACCGTGTCTAAAATTATGATTGACCTCGAATAAGTGGCATCCTTTATTACGCCATGGATATGATTCAATGATCTTGCCTCATCCAAATTTGTAACATGAATAATGGAATATATACAGCAGCCACAGGTGACACCTTCGCGATTACATTTATTAAGCTATAGTCGTTGAAAGGATATCATGCTTTATTAGTTGTCTTTAAAGGGTATATACATCTCGGTCTTAACATTTGAACATGTCTATTTCAACTTATATTTAATATATAGAAATTCAAAGACTACGCTCCTCCTTATACGCCAAATTAATATCGCCTTGCGCTCTACATCGAACCTTTCGCTCCATCTCTTGCCCTTTGGCTCCACAACTTTCGAAAAATATCGATTTACAAATTTAAGAAGTCCTTCAAGCGTAATTTTTGTTCCACGAAAGACAAGTTCTCATTACGGGTTGGTCAAACCGAGCCGGCAACATTTTAAATTTTGCCGTGTTGGGCTTTCTTTTAGGATTCTGTTTTTCTCTATTTTTTGATATCTCTCTAAAACACTTTTTAAAAAAAAACCGAAGGAAATAGCATTTAAATAATTGGGAAGTTCAATATTCTACAAATCGTCGTTCACTTCGAAAAGGAAAAAAGTTCTCCTGGGTTTATATATATTTTTCGAAAAGTTAGGTATTCAAGGTGCAGGACAGAGACAAAGTTATGCAATGCACGGGCCATATTAAATAGATCATTTCACTATGACATTCTGTAATTAATGGCTTTAACGTACACGTTCAGGTCAAACACAAATATGCTACGTTTTCATGAAAAAGACTTTTTTAAGGTGGGGAATCTCCATAAAAATGGTTGACAAAGTGTCAGTCGTTCTAAGGATATAAAATAATTATGATAAACAAGATCAACAAGGAAAGGCGACGTTCAATGAACGCAACCTTCACGCGACCCAGCAACAAGGATCAGCGGCCAGGAGCCAAGGAGGACCCATACAAAAACAGGACAGGGCGCGAGCGAAGCACAGACAGGCCAATTACTAATTATAAAATGAAACATAACTACAAATGATAGAAACCGACAAGGAAAATAAAGAAAAAAATAAATGACTGATTAAAAGGTCCTCAAAGTAAATTGGCACAGGGGAAGGGGGTTGAGCAAAAAGCATTTAACACGTGTTTCATTTATGTTTTAAAATACTTCCTTCTCTAGCATTGTTTTTTAATGTGTTATTTTTCTCACAAAGTGTAAATAGAACTGTTTATTTTATAATCAAACAATGCTTATTGTCAGAACAAATCTTGGTTTAAGAAAAAATTAAAGATAGATTATGCTCAAATTTTATATTTGAAAATAC